CTCTCGGACTGTCCAAGGAGGCTAAATTGTCATAACATTGGAAGGTCCTTACAATGTGGTTTTAGTTATAATATGGTCACATGGCTCTCCCAGTGATCATGTTTATCAAGGCGCCCCCAGTTGAAAAATGAGGGATGGGAGATAGAGCTATGCACCAAATATCCTCGAGTTTTTTTTTTTTTTTTTTTTTAAAGATGACCGGTAAGGGGATCTCAACCCTTGGCTTGGTGCTGTCAGCACCACGCTCAGCCAGTGAGCCAACCGGCCATCCCTATATAGGATCCGAACCCGCGGCCTTGGTGCTATCAGCACCGCACTCTACCGAGTGAGCCACAGGCCGGCCCTATCCTCGAGTTTTTATTTACTGTTACTCAGGTTAACGACTAAGTACATAACATAAATTGACATTCAAAATAATTCTATAAAATACATAGTGAACTAAACATTTAACCTGTATTTTCACATTTTTATTTGATTCTGAAACTATTGTGCGGTAACATGAAAGCCTTGGATGGAAAAAAAAAATTCTGTGGAACCTTCTTTATAAATTTACAGAAATGGTTTAAGGCAACAAGTTAAAGTCTTCATAATTCAATTTATTTGGCACACAATAATTTACACTAGGCATTTTACTGTTTAAATGAAGCCACTGACAACTTATGTTATGATATATAATCTTAATTTTACAGCATCTTGTTGATAGCATCTCTTTAACGAGTGTTACCTTGATTTGGGTTTTAACTTGTGAAAGCCTAAAATTAGTTGGTTTTAGATTAATGTCATTTATAGTTTAGGAGGACTGTTTTTTCCAATCCCTAGAAAGGATTAGAAGATTATATGTATTCTTAGTGCCCATGTTTGTATTATGTAGGTTGTTCCATAATCAGTGAAAATGCTTATTTTTTAATACCAGAATTTATTTTTAAAAGTTGCCTCTTTTCTGTCAACCACTATGAAGGTTTCTTTGTGGAGTATAGTGGTGAGTCAGAGTAGCTGTACTGTCCTGAGATTATAGGGACATAGCTTCTTTCAATGGACTGTTAATTTATTTCTTGGTGTCTTTTGACTTTCAAAGGATGAAATTTAGTTTTGATTATAATATCAGTGTTACTTTTCTAATTTAATGGAAATATTAAAATAAGGTGGCTTGATTTGGACATCTAAATATGCAATCTATATCATAATGGTCATTATTTACGTTTGCAGATTTCTTCAACCATTTTGTCCTTGCATAAATTTTGTAACCTAGACAGCATTTTTTACACTCTTGATTCAAATGACTTTTTGAAATTCTTAAAACAGACAAGAAGCAGAACTTGGATCTTGACCAGCATGACCTTCCCCTGTCTGTTGTCACTGTGAAATGACAAGTACCTTGACAACTCTAAATAGCTATACAAATATGATTTTTTGAATTAGTATTTATCCGGTTGCTGTCTTACTCAGATTCCCATGTCCAATCCAGTAGCAAATTCTGTAGGCTCTACTTTCAGAATAAATCCTAAATCAGTCATGTTTCCCCATCTCTCTAAAACCTCTGTTCAGTTCCATCATTTGTCGCCTGGCCTGCTGTATTAACCTAATAACTACTATTAGCAGCAGCAAGTGTTATCTTTTTAAAATATAGAACATATTACTCCCCTGCTAAAAACTCTGCAGAAGTTCTCTATCACACTTACAATAAAATCTTGAGTTTTTTCCCCCTCGGCCCTGCATGCATCTGGGATCTGTCTGCGTGTGAGCTCTTCTCCTGCATTTTTCTTCCTGGGTCAATCCACTGCAGCCACACTGTTGCTTTGCTGTACCCTGAACAATAAGTGGCTAAGCTTATTCCAGTCACAGGGCTTTCCTCCTGTTTGTTGCGTTGCTTGCTTTGACATACTGTTCAGTTCTTGGCTCATATGTCGTATCCTCAGAGAGGTTTATGTTAACTGTCCTGTATAAACTAGTTTCCTTTCCCTCTCCCCCAGTCTCTTTTATCCCCATACCCCGCTTTCTTCTGTATAGCACTTATCACTGGTCAAAGTTCTTTTATTTACTGTTTATCTCTCTTCCCCACTAAAGCTTCATGAAGGCAAGGACTCTCAGGTGACCTGGGCATTGCTCATTAATACCTTGAGCAGTCTTTGGCACATAGTAGGCAATGGAATATTAATTGACTGAATGAATGAGCCTTAATCTCTTTGGAAAAAAGTGGTAGGAGAGTTGTTTTTCTATATCATAATTTGAAATTGTTACTGCTTACTAGATTCTGTCTGAACCAATGCCTGAGCTAAAAGTTAGTCTCTTATTCCACCAATAAATTAATTAAAAAAAACCCCACTTGCCAATCTTTTATATTGTTGGCTAGGAAACACATACATAGAGTGCAACATTTGAAAGGCTCTAAAGGGTACGTAAGAGAAAATTAAGACTCTCTCACCTGTCCTTCATTCCCATTCCCCCTCCTCAGACAACCACTATTTTTATTGTGCATCCTTCCAGAAGACCAGAGCAACTTGGTGCATATATAGGTTCGGCTTCTTCCTCTCCTCATGCAAATACCTGGCCCCCTCCCCTCAACAATTTATCTATGAGATGACTCATTTTATAAAGGGTTGTTTTGTGGAACCTTGTGATTAGACTTTAATTTAACTAATTGCTTATTGATAACTCTTAGAGTGTTCCCAAAATGGTGCTATACAAACCGTGCTGTAATGAACAGTTTTGTATATATGACATTTTGCACAAGCGAGAGTCAAACTGAGTGTTGATCTGTTTTTAGCTAGTATTCTTTTTTTTTTTTTTTTTTGGCAGCTGTCTGGTACAGGGATCCAAACCCTTGACTTGACCTTGGTACAATCAGCATCACCTTCTACCAACTGAACTGAGCTAACTGGCCAGCCCCCTTAGCTAGTGTTTTTAAATTTCCTTTTTTCCTCCTATCTTCTCTCCTGGGCCAAAGCTCTTCTAGTGTCTAAAAGTGACCGAGCAATTAAAGCTTAAAGTTACAAAGGTTAAAAGGTGCACCTAAAATATCTCTAAAATGAGAGGTCCTCCCTAATCCTGTCATAAAGAAGAACCAGAGTTATTTTGGGAGGGAATAAATGAGATCTGTAGTCCTGTCCTTGGTCAAAACCAAATCTATTTCAGCTTTACATATTATATTTATATAGTGACATTCATTTCATTGTCTTTTCAAAATTAATCATGAAAACAATAAACTATAGTCTTAGAAAACGGTAGTTAACTTTCTTAAGGAGTTGACCTATTTGATTAAAACCTGGTAAGCCAGCCTACTGAGATTAGAATTCTACCAGTTTTTCCCAAAATTTACTTTTCTATTTGGTGAGGTTTAAAACCTGATATGATGTGATTTTTGCATTAAGACTTTTTTTTAATAATTATATTTTACTTTTTAATAATTATGAGTTTTAAAATACAGATTTTTTTTT